TCGGTACATACTGAAGGTGGGTGTGGTAGCTTCTTCGCCCGACCACGCCGACACTACAACCAGGAACACCGTGAACAGCTGTTAGAAATAATAAGAATGAAATGGCAACTGATTAATTTCAAAATTGATGTAATTATCCTTAAAAGATTTTTTTTAATGAAATGACGTCTAAATAATCTGTCTACCTCTTTTTGTCCGCATTAGGCGACGAGTTTCAAAACTCTCGACGTTAATCCATCAGTCAATAATTTTGGACGAAATAATTTATATTCATTAAAATATAGATGTTTATTTATAAACAGTCTTTCTTTTATACTCTGATAATGAATTGTTATTCCTAACCCATTACCCGCTCACGGACATATTCCAGGTTATAATTTACAAGAGGTTTAATGCGGATTGATGAGGGTTAACGAAAGCGGCAGATGCAGCCGGGAGCGTGCACCGGCGTATCGTGCCGTGAAGTAGCCGTTACGTTGCCTACAATAGAGTTGAGCGAAGCGGCTGCTGCTGCAGTGGGACCGAGTATGCTCTGGATTATTTGTTTTTTTTTTTATTATGTATATTAGTTTTATTATAAATGAATTTATATGGCGCGGCATATTGATCGATTAACGAAAAAATTATAATCTTTTATGTAATGCAAAGTGACTTCACAGTCTAATGAAGTCGCTTTGCAATGAGGAAGTATTTAAATAAAAACATTAGTTCCCGAAATCAAACTAGATGTCGCTACGGTACGTTCTTGATTTCTCCATGACAACCCTTCCGGTTTTCTTTCATGTTTAAAAGTAAATTCGTTTTCAAAACACAATAAACAACTCATATTCTATTTGTACTTTTTCGTATTTGTATTGATTGATATCTAAGTTTCGAACTTTTCAAATTCCAGTTTTTTAATATGTTAGTTAAAAGGAACGGAAACGACTGTCTTTGGTTCATCCGTTTCCTGAAAAAAAAACAACTTTTGCTAGAGTCGCCATCTAGTGGAGGTGCTTTTTAGTGCTTTCGTTTTTTTTTATTATTTTCTCATTGAAATTTTCTGCATTGAATAAAACAGGGGAAAATACAGCCATAACTGAGTTTCTTGGTGGTTCATATCAGTACAATGTCGTCCGCTGTGGTTTTCCGAAAACATGGCTAAGCTTTCGTCATTCACAAGTACTTGTAATATCAAAGACTAAATAAATTGTATTGAATTTACGTTCAGACTTAGAACCTTCCACATCGATATTTAGTAAAAATTTGTGTTACAGATAAATATAATATATACTAGATAGCTTGGACTGCAGTGCATGCCGACAGCACGCATTCATTACAGGCCATATAGTGTGGATATTGAAAATTTGTAAGTAGAGTCAGTAAAATGTAAAGTTACTGAATACATCCATTTTTTGGGATACAAGAGATATATAGGAGTATTTTGTTCTTATTTCAACCCATCCGGAATCTAATGAATATGCCGTCACATTGACTAAATCTTTAGTATATACGATAAAAAACAATAAATATCGACTAAACCATTCAACTTCTTCAATCGATGTCAAGTTATAATTAGTTGTTTTTTAAATTCAACATCATTAAGATGATGACAAATCGAAAGTTAGTACATAATATAAGTACGTTTATTATTATATATTTAAAAAATTCACATTTTACCAGAAAACATATTTTTAACATTTTACCAGAAAATATATTTTTAATGTACTTAATAAGAACTAAATTATAGTAAACAGTCAAAAGCCCAAAAGTTAGCATGAATTTTATCAGTCATAGACGCAGTTTCTGAATTGAAAATTTAAACTTAAGTTCATCTCAAACTCAACTTAAACGTTTTTCGTTCTCGAATTTAATTTTTTTAATGATTTTGCCTTGGGAAACGTAAATGACTTAAGCTATCGAGGTTAATCGGTTGAGATTTTGTACTTTTCTCAATTCAGAAACCGGTCACTAGTTAATATACTCCATCTATAACTTACCAAGTTTAAATAACCGAACACAATTATCCCATATCTCAATGGTAAACAGAACAGACAGCGTTTACATTCAGGTACATCAAAACGCATTATTACACTTGCAAAAAAAACACAGATACAAGCAAAGGAGAATTATTATAAATCCTCAATATTTTTAATTTGTAAACGCAGTGGTTGCTGTGTCACCGAGTTTGACAACAAGCCGGAATGATGCTTATTCAGTCAGCGATGTGACTGCATGCAATTATTCTATTTACTAACTTCTCTCAAGGAAACGACGATTTTGTTACGAACAAATGACACTGAGCTTGTCTAATGTTGACATCATGCACCTAATTGTTTCAAAACACATCGTAGGCGATGAATTTTCCGTTGTTAACTATTTAAAGATAATATATATCTAGTACAACAATGAATTCACTATAAAAACTGACTTACAAACAGATATACATATTTATTGTTATTGATTACAAATTTCGACAAACTTCTTTTGAAGATCAGCTTTATATTAAGTTTTCTTTATTCTTTTAACCACCTTTGTAGTTATTAAGTATTATTTTCAATGTTTTGAAATCGGTTAGTGTTTTTTGTAAATCTATTTTACTAAGTAACGAATCATTTACTATTAAGTATTTAAAGCTCTCAAAACATCAATTGTTCAATTCTTGTAATTTTTATCGGTATCACTTTGGATAATATCTTTTTTATAAAAAAAAAAAGTTTCATTTATAAACCTCCTTACGAAAATTAAAATTGTTCAAGATTTTTTTTTCTATAAAAAAATCAGTATACATACTTCAATCGCTCTAATCATTATGAATTTTATGATAGCCATTTGGAAACATATCCTTAACTTTCATCATAATCGATTCACTGTCGACTAAAGTAATAATATAGCAGCTAGTGTGTAATAAAAAAAAATAAAAAAAACTTTCAATCGAATCTTGTCGAATTATTGTATTTTAAATCGGTCAAAAGTATAAATATAATGTGTCTTATGCTTCTAATAGATTAGTCTATACACTGAGTTCTTATAAACTACATAACGAATTTTAATGATGTTCTCGTCAATATACAGAGTGATTCAAAAGGAGAAGTCGATATGTATAATACAATAAACTAATACAGGATACGGGCAAACCGCGAAAGCTGGTGCACAATAATCCTACTCCCAACTGCGCAATTATACACATTATCAATCGTGGTTTGAAAAGGAATGTTAAGGTATCAAAATAATCAAAACCATTATTATATTATTTTTGCAAATATACATTTATTAAATTTAAATGTTTTACTTTTCATTGCGTATAATATGACAGTACAGTTCAAAAAATAAGTTTACTATTTAAAGGTTGAATTACATTATAATATACACAGCAAAACAATATAGTCAATATACAAAATTTAATAATCCATTCATTAAGGTGAATCAGATTCACATATTTTTTGTCTCTTTTTTACCTGCTAAAATCGGAGACAAAAATAAAAAAGGATGGTTATACATGTTTCTAAAACAAGATATTCTTTTTGTATAAGAAAGATGATTACCGTTTTTTTGTGAAATGTAATTGGGTCACCAATATTAAAATAAAAGTGATAATGTTAATGAATAATAAATTATTATTTTTAGTATGAAATATCATACAGAATATAATAATTTGTAAATATCATAATTATCTTCTATTTAACATTTTTAAATAATAGCAATAAATAGTAGATATGGTTAGAATAGTTTTGCTTCAACGTCTAACTTGAAGCAAAAGATTTCTATAAATTGGAAATTAACAGAAAAGGATAATTATAAATATGTACTTATCATTATTCTGCTAATATAAAGAGAAAGAGAGGTAGTAATTAAACGCAAACGAAATACAATTCTAATACAATATGCGCCAATATAATAATATTTAATTATATTAAAAAATATACAAAAATAAGCCAGAATAATTTGCAAAAGTTCCAAATTCTGTACTTCAATATTTTACGTTTTGGTGGAATTTCAAACCTTTTATACCGTATACCGTATTCGAAAAAGATTTCAGATAACTTAAAAAATCACCATTCCCAGGATAACCTGAGAAGAAAGATACTCATCTCAGGGTACCTGGTATCTCTACCTGGCAAAAAAAATATTAATGTAGCATTATGAATGCAAAATTTATCAAATATAATAAAAATAATTTTCCAAAAAATAAATGCTTTGAGATTGAAATTATTTGAAAAAAACACAAGTATGTAAGAAATTTTAAGAATAAAATTACATAAAAATTAATTAACTAAATAAGTAACTTTACATTTTTTTATATATTCCACCTTAATAGATATGAAAACTTACTACTCCATAGTTTAAATTCATTATTTGACTACTTTTATAATTTAATCTTGATCACAGATTATAAATCTTTGGCTATAAGCTATAATGAATTTATATTTACAATTTTTTTTTTAAGTCAAACTCAAAGCTTCTGATAAAAAGAAGGTTTCATAATCGAAAGTAGATTCTGTATCTAGCTAGTCTTATTTTTAAACATAACCGCGTTGCTGTTAAAAAAAATGTAACTAAAACCAGCTCTAAGTGTACCCATATATTCTTGAGTTTACTCTCGATTATATATGTTTACAGCTAGTTGTAATTTTCGAATTGTTATTATAGCGTTTTGATTTAATGTTTCTTTACTTATAAAGCCGCCCTTATTTTTTATAACTGACTTTATCAAAATGTAACAAATATACTTTTGACAATGGAATGATATATTATATATTTAAATCTATGACATTTTTTATTTTAATATGAATATAGAGAAAAATTATTATCGCGTGGCATTATTACAGGTATAAAATACGCTGTATTGACATATGTAACGATTCCTAATATTTGTATTACATAAAGTGTGCTCAATTTCCGAAGTATACACCATTGATTAAAAAACTTTCTTATGTACAAGCTCGGTTCGTAACTGTTTCATTAAAAACCACACTAAATTCTATAATCTACTCGGACCTTCATTACAATCTATCACTTAGCTACACTTCTACTGGAATCGTGCTAGGGTTGTAAACTCCGTTGGATTCCAACTTCAGATCGCCGTTGATGAACTGGTGCAGTTGGTTATCGTACACGTGTGGACCATCCACATCAAGCTTCTTCAGCAAATTCCATACAAGCAACAATAAATATAATTGTATACCTGAAAATTTAAATATCTTGTTATTGAATGTGTGTGTGTGTTTATTTAACCTAAAACTGAGTTGGCTAGTAGATATTGAATCATTCGGTCAATAAGTTTCTATTTACTGTGATCAAACTAAAACGATTGAGCAAATTATGTATATTGGCTTTGGTTAGTTAGACATCGTATTCAATCAAAATGCACTCAGCGTTCAACCCAATTTATTAATTGTTAGATACAGAGTGTACGTTAAATACGTCGAGCTGAATGAAATGCAGTCTATGTTAAATAGAGTATTAAGCGTTGAGTGCATTTTGATTGAATCCGATGTCAAAGAAATCGAAGCCAATGTTATTACGCGGTAGGCCGTGTGTATGAAAAAATGTTTAAAAAAAATATATATAAAATCTTACCCTATTGAAACTATTGAAAATTCTAGATACTTACATATACCAGTGAAGCAAAGTAAGCCCAACTCAAATATGAAAAAGGAGGAATGCGAGTTTATGCTGAATATATCCACTATTTGCATCAGTACTGATGACACGAGCGTGCATATGGAAAAGTAGTAATATACTTTCACAGGTCTTGTTATTCTCTGCAACAAAAAGTGATATAAAGTTATTTTTAATTGATTACATTTTATCCGTCTATTAATGTCATCCCATTTTGTCATCATCAATATTATCAATCCCGCCGTTGGGGCATTTTGGACGAAATTAAAAAGGAATAACCCACATAACCTACCACGCATGCCCTGTACGGATTGGTGGGTATTAACAACTGCAGACGCAGCCAAGCCCTACCAAAGTACGGAGGAACTTGACATAATTACTTTTTGGTCACCTATGCAATGTCAAATCAGTTGCATGTCGTATTACCATGCATACTCGCATGTATTAAATAATCAAACATGATATTCATTGTCCTCACACTCATTGTTCAGATTTCAAGTTGAGTAGCTAAAGTGGGGAAAATACGGGATTTGGAGTATTCGAGAAAACGAAGCTACTACATCACCCAGACCCGCGACAATACTGAAAAGTTCATTTTCTACATTGATCCAACCGAGAATCGAACCCAGAGCTCAGAGTTAGCAACACCTGGAAACTGGCGTGCGTACTAGGTACTCGTCTACGGAAGTCGTTTAATGTTGCCTAACCGTGCATCGCAGGCCGAATGCGATAATACTGCGCCGTCAAACTAATAAATACATTAGACTTCAAACGACTGTAGGAAAATTAGATATAAAAAAAAACCGTTTTTATTTTCATGTCAATGATTCTAGAGTCTAGAGAATCGATTGCTACTTAATACTACTTAAGTATTTAAATGGATATACGTTTGTGATAAATCATTATAAAATCTAAGAAACTTATTAGGCTAATCATATTAATTTATGCTACGGACAGCTCGATTTATTTAGCATAATACTGTAATAGGTGTGAGTAGCATATTATCTCGTGCATCTCTAACTTCCTGATTGGTATGTTAACCACATTAATCTCTCTACGCTACGCCACGTTAATGATAACATTCAGAGGGAAGTTGAAATTTGTTTATTGAAAAGTTCTGATAAGATAAGATGACCCATTCCTAATGGATAATTGTTAAGCTCAGGTAATGTGTATAGTAATACTCCTAAATGGAATGTACTATAATCTTAACCTTGGTCAGTCGTGCGGGTTTATTTACCTGCAATGACCTCCCCATTTTAATATATTAAACCTATAAAATATATTAAATATCAGCTTATTTATCCAAGACGAAAGTCTGATAAAAACTTATAGGTAAGTTAAATAAAAATTTAAAGTACTTTTAAAAGAGACTTGCATATTAAAAAAAAAAAAACTAGTAACACCAATTAATTGTCAATTTTATCATTACATATGACCCGCTAAAATGACCCATTATTGTTATATTTAGTAAAATTTTCATTCCCAATGCTACACTGGAAAATGTTCTTAATGAAAAATACTTAAAATACCACTTTCTCCCTGGCACTCTGAGATAGGACACGAACCTATGACCTTGCTCAATCCGGGCGACTGCTCTAACCACTGAGGACCTAGGTATGTAGGTAGGATTCCCAAAGGTCATGGATTGTAGTGCATACTTAATTGGCGTATATAAGGGATGGAAACGTTCAAGTGCATAATGACATATTATTATACTTAATAGTGATCACATGGGGTGTATGTATACCAAGTTGCTTCAAGCCAACCCTGCCTATACGTGGTCACTCTGCTGATTGCCGGGCGGGCTCTGGGTAACCGATTGATAGTGGGATAACCATCTTTATAAGTCGCAGCTCACTAAATACCTTAGGCTGGTGATCTACTCTGATGGATATGCCTCCACTGCTGGGGCTCAGGCCTTCCCTATGGATGGAATCGACTCAGCAAATAGAAAGAATAGGTCATGACCTACAACGCGGGTCAATACTTGTGTATTAAAGCTTAAATAAAAAGATAACCAACCTTATGTGTTCCATAGATGAGTATTGCTGCAAACACGCATTCTACACAATATATGAAGACGCAAGCCTCGGCTGGTAATCTGACACTGAGGCCTTGGTACAATAGTTCGGTATTGCTTTCAACATGTACCTCATAACTGTACACACCCACCATGAATGCGCTGAATAACTGTAATGAAAATACAAATGAAAGCGTCCATAATATCATTATAGATCTAGTGAACTACGTAATCTGTGAACAGATTTCACAAACATGATTTTTATATTACCAGCAAGTTATGTAGCTTTGCAATGGTGTGCCGCACCATTGCTTATTTCGTCCTAGGTTTCCGCATGCAAACTTTTTGTCTTTGATCTTCATTATCATTGCTTTTTATTATTCCCCTTTCGTAATTTGAAATTTTGAGTAATCCAATATGTACTTTATGAATGAGTTCGTAAAAAAATCGTCTGGTGAGAATATGATAATCTAATCATTATAAATCTAATAATAATAAATTATTATAATTTTAATAAGAAACATGGAAAAGTATATTTTCGTGAAATATTTACTAAGTTGTATCTATTTCGAAAAACCCAGAATTGGGTATGTATTTGTTCTATTTTAATTATACTATTTAGATAATTATGAGAACTGTTTTTATGTTCTTTTTTTGTTTGTTACAGTTTTTCTTATTACCTATTAGAGGGTATCAAGTTTTCAAGCCTAATCAGCCTTTTATTCATTTGCCTAAGCATCGAACTCGTCACAGCTTTTCTGCTAGTAAAATAATGTTTATAATTGCTCCAGTAGACTCGAGTTTATCTATTACAAACAATCAAACTCAAATCTTTACTTTAAAGAAGAAGCTGTAAAAAGTTTTTATTTCTTTTAACCTAAATCCCAAAAAAAAAACAAAATATTAGCCTGTATTTGGAAATATTCTTGCAGGTTATTATTGAAATAATATTATCATTAAAAAGCATTTGAAAGTTAGAATTCATGTTATTTATATATTTCTTTATATTTTCTCTACTCTTATGTAAGTTCTCAGTACGCCCAATGAATAGTCGTACAAATATCTACTTTTTAATAAAAATTATGTCTTATGTGATTTATTTACGAAATCCGAAGGAGTGAAAATTATCTTATAGAGTTGATTAATTCTTAATCAACGATGGCGCAGTGAACATAATAGATTGGCCGTATTTTAAGTATTTAAAAAGTATTTTTTCAAGTTTCGAGTTGGGGATTGCAATAATCAGTGAATAACTGCGTGATTGTCAAGAACAATTGTTATCTCGGAGTTTTTCAGATGTTTGATTGGTATAAAGTGCTGATAAAAATTTTGAGAAATTAAATCATATTAACCGTGATTTCTATAGCGAATAACGCATACATCTATGCGTAATGTTGATGTGAAAACAATATTTTATTCAAAACAAATATTTGTACTGTGTTTATGTGATGATTTTTTGAAAAAAACTTTCATAAAAGCCGTTGTTCATCGACGACACATTTGGACTTTGTACCTGCCAGCAAACAATGCAGTTGTTATCGGAATGAATCGACTGTCTTAGCCATTAGTTAAATGCAGAAAATAGTTGAATATTTTGACGCTTTGCTTGTAAGCGCCGTGGTGTAACGGATAGAGTTACGTCCAACCGACAGCGAAGCCCGAAGATCGGAACCACGCAGAGGAGGCAATTGTTTTTTTTTTTCTCTTTTTATTTCCATTTTTCCTTTTGTAATTAATTTTTTTTTGTTTTTTTTTTATCTTACTTCTTTTTTTGTAAACGAGAAATAAAAGTAAATAAGTAAATATTAAAAATGCAACGTTCACCGCCAAAATCAATTTCCAACTACATTGAAAGAAATATTACGCCCAAAACAAACGACAGCAACACTAAAGAAGGTGATATTGGTTTCACGCAACGAGCGAAGAGACAGGCTACTTCTCCATTGTCGCAGGCGAAAACGCAAAATATGGTAACAAAAGATGACATTAGAGAAATCGTAGTGGATGTAATCCAAAATGAGCTGGCGTCCATGGTGTCACAAATTGGTAGATCAGTGGTCGATTCTATAAAGACAGAACTCATCTGTATCAGGAAAGAGATTGAAGAAGTAAAGGAATCAATGTCTTTTATGAATGAAAAATATGAGTCAGCTATTAAAGAGTGTCAAGAAATGACCGGGGAAGTTAAAACATTGAAGGAAGAAAACAAGGACATGCAAGGGACAATACAACTTTTAAAAGTCAAAGTTAATCTGCTGGAACAAAATGCGCGCGCTAATAATCTGGAGGTACAATGTGTCCCTGAAACAAAAAACGAAAATCTATCAGGTATAGCTATGTGCATCGCAAAAACGGTTGGTTACAATATGACAGAAGGGACAATACAGCATATTACTCGTGTGTCAAAACAAGACAAGGCCAGCTACCGACCTAGATCAATTATTATTCAGATGTCGTCACTGCAACAACGAGATCTCTTTCTAGCTGCCGTTATAAAATATAATAAAGCAAATCCGAATAATAAGTTAAACACCTCTCACATAGGCATTACCAATGATAAAAAACCAATTTATGTTATGGAACACCTCTCAGTACCAAATAAAGTTTTACACGCTGCAGCTAGACAAAACGCCAAAGACAAAGGTTATAAACATGTGTGGGTCAAAAATGGGAAAGTGTTCATGCGAAAAACTGATGATTCAGCATTTATCTTAGTCAAGGATATGGACTCATTGAAGAAACTGAAATAATTTTGACTTCATATTTTTATTTGTTTTGCATGATTTTGATATAAATATAAGTATTAAAATTCTCAAGTCTGAATGTATACTACCAAAATGTACGTGGCCTAAGAACCAAAACTGTTGATTTTTATAATAGCGTAAGTCTCAGTAAATATGATATAATAATACTCACAGAAACATGGCTGAATAATAATGTCTTTGATAGTGAATTGTTCGATGATAGGTACGTGGTATATCGTAGGGATAGAAATAAAACAAATAGTAATAAAGGGGAAGGAGGGGGCGTCTTATTGGCAGTCTCAAAAAAAATTAACTCTAATAGACATGTTCAATGGGAGAGTAGTTGTGAAGATTTATGGGTTACAATAGATTTTCCTGTTAATGTGTCAGTTAATACAGTAACTTTTTGCATTGTATATCTTCCTCCTCCAGTAACACCAACATTACTAAAGGCCTTTTTAAGTAATTGTAACCTGACGCTGGAAAGCATTCAAGGTGATGTGTATATAATAGGAGATTTCAATCTAGGACAAATAAAGTGGACTCAATTTGAAAATTATAACAGAAATGTACCATCTTTAGAAAGTTCAATAATAGATTTTATAGCATTGAACGATTTGTGTCAAATTAATCATATTTCTAATATTAGTGGTAATATACTAGACCTTTTTCTTACCAATAACCAAAACTGTCAATTGCTGTGTGCTTCTGATGTCCTTTCCAAAATTGATATCGTGCACCCTCCCTTCGAAGTACAAATAAGTTTATCATCGCCGAAATATTTGCCAGTTAACAATGAAATCCCGAGGTACAATTTCTATAAAGCAGATTATATAAGCTTAAATCGATTTCTTAAGAGTACACCATGGTCAGAGCTATTTAGTAAAGTAACAGATGTGAATGAAATGGTAAAACATCTTTACGATGTACTTAGAGAATCAATTTCGTTGTACGTACCATTGAGGAACCGGAGAAAATCCAACTATCCTCCGTGGTTTAGCACAAATTTAATCTCATTGCTTCGAGAAAAAAACAATATTAGGCATAAGTATATGAAGCATAAAAACCCGCGAGATGAAATTTCATTTAAACTTCTCAGAACTAGATGCAAAAAGTTAGCATCAAAATGCCACAGAGACTATATGAATAGCATTGAGGAATCGATTAAGAAAAACCCAAAGTTAATGTGGACTATGATTAAAGGAAAGCGTAAAGGAAAAAGTATATTTCCAGCAAAGATGCACAATGGCACTAACACGGCTTCTAAAGGAGCAGAAATTTGCAAGCAGTTTGCTAGTTTTTTTGCGTCAATTTATGAGGACTCAGACGATGTTGCAATTACTACAAATTATAAAGAAGCATACAGTAATAACTTACATAACATTTTCATCAATTTTGATGAGATAACTAACAAATTAAAATCTGTGGATACAAGCAAAGGTCACGGTCCAGACGAAATTCCAGCACATTTTGCGAGGAACTGTGCCGAAAGTTTGGCAGAGCCATTGTACATCATTTATAATGCCTCACTAAGATCCGCAGTTTTTCCGGATAAGTGGAAGTTGGCTAAGGTTGTCCCTATATATAAGGGAGGAGATATATCGTGCGTGAAGAACTATAGACCAATTTCTCTTCTATGTATATTTGCTAAGGTATTGGAATCTTTAATATGCCCTATTGTTCGAAATCACTGTAAAAAGTTTTTCACAGATCATCAACATGGCTTTCTAGAAGCACGGTCGACATGTACAAATCTTGTTTGCTTTGAAAGTCTTCTGTCAGAGGCTTTAGACTCTCGAAAGCAAGTTGATGTAATATATACAGACTTTTGTAAAGCATTTGACAAGGTTTGCCATAAAGTGCTTATAAACAAATTGCAATCGTTTGGAATAGCTGGATCTTTATTAAATTGGATGTCATCATATCTTTTCAAAAGAAGGTTTTATGTGGTAGTTAATGGATATAGTTCAAATGTTTATAATATATTATCAGGTGTTCCTCAGGGGTCACATCTCGGACCAATTCTGTTTAATATATTCATTAATGATTTGCCTAACTGTTTAAAATATGCATCACATTTCCTCTATGCTGACGATCTTAAATTGGGACTTATTGTAAAGTCGGATGATGATTCTCTGAAGATGCAAGATGACCTTAACAGCCTTGTTAATTGGTGTAGGATAAATGGAATGGAACTTAATGCTTCAAAATGCCGGCAAGTCCATTTTACACGTAAAACTGCATTTATATCGACACAATATCATATACACAATGTCGCGCTAAAGAGATCAGAAGTAGTCAAAGATTTAGGAATAATTTTTGATCAAAAGTTGACGTTCATTCCGCAACTGGATAATGTAGTACAAAAGGCATCACGGATGCTTGGATTCGTCATCAGAAATGGCAAAGTATTCAAAGATACACACACTAAAATTATTTTATATAACTCGTTGGTACGAAGCATTTTGGAATATGGCATTGTCGTATGGCGACCACATTATGCAACTCATACTTTACGTCTAGAAAGAATACAAAAAAGGTTTATGAGACACTTGTCGTATTCAAAAGGTATTGCCAAGAGTCTCAAAAGTTACGAGGAAAGACTCAAACATTTTAAAATGACATCATTGGAAAAGAGACGGGACTTACTCGATTTATTATTCTTACATAAAATACTAACGGGTAAAATAAACTGTCCCCCATTACTTTCTCTTTTTAAATTCAAAGTGCCACGAAAAGTGCCTCGAAAACCCATAACACCGCTATGTCCGCCTTTTAGATCCACAGTTTTTGGTGCCAAATCCGCTGTCCCTCGTCTATCCCGAATCCTGAACCGCTATAGTAATCAAATAGATATCTTTTTAGACTCGCCTAGTAAAATAAGGAATATTGTTATTAATCAGTGAAATACACACTATACTATAATATTAAAACACTGCTTTGATGTAAGTGGTGTCTGCTTGTAATTAGTTTATGTACTCTAACTCTAAATTAGATGTAATTATTATCTGTAAACTATACATAGTGCATTAAACTGTAAGATTTAACAATGATTGGATTACATTTTGTTGTTGCATATTTTAATTTTTATTTTATTTATTTGTATGATCTAATTTTATTTATTTCAAACTTATGATTGTGTATATGAGTGTCAATGCTTGAAATAAATGACTTTATTATTATTATTATTATAGCTTTAATTAATCCATTTGCACTGAAAAGTATAATTGATTGAAAACAAAAAACAAAAACATCACCAAGAAATCGTAAAAGTACGTTTACACTTCGCAAATAATAGTTTGTTCGGCGTTTAGTTTAACACGCATGCTCTGTTATCTGTGTGAAATTATTTTTTACATTGACCTTGCACTGGTCTTGCTGATAATATAAACATTATTATTATGAACTTTGCTTATTTGCAACATGATATGTGCTCTGCAATTAATTTGTCCGTACTGTACAGAACTAACAAATTAAAACTAATAAAGTTATCGTTTCTCTACAAAAAGCTATAGGAAATTGTATACATTCAATTTGTATAATTTTATATGACGTAATTTTATTTGGCAAGTAAAGTTGGATGCGTATACGCATATTATGTAATGTACGTCTGGGTGTACGGGTCACCACTTAAACACACACATATTGAAAGTACCCCATTGTTTGCTAATCTAACGATTTCCGTAACCGATTATGGCTTCGATATCTCCGAGGTACTGAACTATATTTCCGATCAATTCACTTCTTTACATTTGTAGCAATTATAAAAAAATCATATTAATGTGAAACTTGTTATTTAAAGTCACAACGGAGTGTCAGAAAAATGCGCATTTCAATATTTCTTTTTACCGCGAAAAAAATCTCGCATTTATTTCCGCTTGAGCAGGCAGATAAATCTAGTAATATTTATTAGAATCTTCACTTTGCTGCATGATAAAATCAGTATACATCTCATTTAAAAAACTTTCTCATTTAAATATCAAAACGAAAGATACCATAACAAAACAAATGGTACACTTCATATGTACTTACAATCTTCAAATATGCTATCACGAGAACTCCTCTTCTTAAAGGCAAACAGAAGCAACACCTTTGAAATTGCGGGCAGTCACAATACATTTTCACTTTTTTCTTTTTTTTTATTAATACACTAGATATATAAATTTAGCAGGAGTGTACGTTATTTTAATGTTAATACTAGAATAGAGTTATACGCGCTCCTGTGTCCAGGGTTATTTGATAACTGGCTAACAGACAGTGTGACACATCAACGTTACGCGTTTTAACTCTATGAATATATACGGGATCTCTGTCCGCTAAATATATAAGTAGAGGACTAGAGGACTACTCACAAATAAATGAGGAATGATTAATCTGTTATCGTGCTGTAAATTTTACATTATCTAATTTAAGTAAAATATTATTTTAAACGACTACAAATGAAACGTTGGAAAATACACTTAATATATTAATATGTTTTTTGTTTATTATTGTTAATAGATCGATTATATATTGTCTGTAAATGATTCTAAAGATCGTTAAGTATCTCTCTTCATTTAGATAATTATGTTTTGTAATGAATGTTTTGTACTTTCTTAAGAGTTTCTACATAAACAATAGAATGATAATAGCCTCATCACATTAATGAGATTCCTAGATAAAATGGTAAAAGTATTACCACAACACCTAATTTTTATGGGGCTTAGAAAGGACAAGTATGTTTTTTCTTTTTGGGTAACATGCTATTATTTTGTCTGTTTCATATTTCAGAATTTTATTCAAATTCATTGATATTTTAAAAAATGCTTTGCATTGAATAATGAAAAGATTTAAAATTTAAAGAAATATGAAATAACTATATAAAATCACTTATGATACCACACATCACATCACATTTCTTCACTCGATTTTAAACCTTAATGTAGTGAAGGTAGGGTTAAAATAATTGCGATAATTTGATAGACTGTAGTAACCTGACTTGCTGCTGTGTGTACCTGATAATGTCGGCCAATCAGAATAAACCAAATATCACGTCATGGCACCTAATCCCCGCCGAGTTTGACTGAGACGGACTTTCATACCTTATTCTCATTACAAGAAGAGTCATTATACGTTTTAATTGTACGAATTTTTGGTAGGTCGGCTTTACGTAAACGAATATTCACCATATGCAATATTAATTGGAAGTCATTGTAGTAAGTACACATATCCATATCGAACTTTCCGGAGGAGGAGCAAAAAAGCAATTTTAGAATCGTTTTTATGAGAATATAGGGTAGACGCGCCTGTTTCTACCATTGTCTTGCTGTCGAACATTTCATGGCCCTTTTAAAAATAATTAATGCTTTAAGAATTGGACTCTACCTGATCTTTGGACTGGAGTTAATAAAACATATCCTGTTTTCATAACTTGAAGAAAAGTTATTTTTTCCTCTAGCCATGATCCTTTTATGGAGGTGGAATGATATTTTGTAATACTGACGCATCATCAAAGTATAGGACTGGTTGACCGGTTAGGATAAAACCATTAAAACACAATCATTTTATTAATCCCATAAATATAGATGATTTCAAAGTTGCCGTCAGACATTTTTTATTTGATACTGGAAAGCGAACTGATTCAAAAACAATATCTTAAAAGTCTATCCATATTTTAAATAGTGCATTAAGGATAAAGAGCTTGTAGGGAAGGCAAAGTCATCCAAAAACACTCTTTTTATGAACTCCGAAACAATCATAATACTGCAATTATTAAATGAAAATTCACTAAAGTTTTTACAGATAAACTTATCATTGGCTTAGATTGTTTTTGTCATGGAAAATGTATTTTATTTTAAAAGAAAATTGTTTTCGATTTATAAAAAAATATATTCTTGCATAACATTGTAGCTGTAATTAAAAATATAGAGAAAAACTGTTTTGTCCATCGAATCCCTATTAAGTCAAATCCCTATTAAGTAAGAATCCCTATATACTAACATACAGTTAATAAATACATCGAAGTGCCTAAGGATTATGGGATATATGATAGCAAGACTATACTAGCTGATTTTCATAACAAATAAGAATCATAATTATTGCCTTAACTTAAAAAATACTGAAGCCGTAATTTTCACGTCATTGTGTTGATTTGTAAAATGTCCACACCGTTACCCAGCAATAAGTATAACTGTGTCATAAACAATGTTTAATTTTATTTATAAATCCATTTTCTAATTGGGTTGTATAAGGATGTGCGTTATTTCTGTTACACGTTTTATACTTATAACAAATCTGCAAAAAAATAATGTCTGTACATTGAATATATTTACAAAAAAAGAAAGAAATTGAGGGTGGTTAATAAACAATAATAGAATACGAATTTAAAAAATATTGTCTGTTTATCTGTATGTACACGTTAATTTTCGGGACTACTGAGTATATTTGTATGAAACTTATTTTGTTAATACCTGGGCAATATATGGGGTATAATTAATTTTGGAAACTTAAACGTTTGATGCACAACCACAACAGACCAGCGACACCTTAAGAAAAAATTTTGTGCCTGATCAATATATTCTGCTAAGAGTACAAAAGTCAAAGATCCAGAACATATAATGTGGTCTTCAAAGATACTAGTTATACTATAACATCGGATAAAAATGACTTCTTAACAATAAATATTTTTTTATTTATTGACATTTTTTGCACAAATACACATAGGCGTACTTAATGCCATGGCCATTTTCTACCAGTAAACCTTAGGATGATGTGGACACGGGGTTCTCTCTATTGTTGGACAGGGCAAGTTCGTGACCTTGTTGCGTACAACAAAACGCGGGAAAGGGAAAGATCTATGGTTAGCGATACGTATCGTTGTCTTTCAACGATCATGTAAATACTAAGGTTTATTGTCCGTTTTTTCGTCTACTCTAGAAATAGACAATGCAATGTGTCAAAAAGCTCTGATAAGATAATTTGGATTTAGTTTTAAATATATTAAAATTAACTTTGTACATAATAAGACGGCAATATCATTATCCTAATTTTATAGTAATTATGTATGTATGTATATACATACATACATAATTACTATAAAAATACATAAATCATAAAGTAATTAATGATTAAATGAATTTGCTTGTTCCAAACAATGAAACATTTGCTATAGAATAACTTGTTTTTAGAAGCTAATTTATTATTTATTGATAACACAAGTCTGCAAAAAAATAAAAGTTGAGAGCTGTTTTGATTTTTTTGCGTAATTCTTACGTTTTTGGGTGTGCTGAATCCGAAAATGACTTTAATTTTATCACAGAACGTCACGTTTTCTGACAATTTAGGTATCTATGTTAAACAAGTCCTTATCGTAAAATAAAAGATAATAGAATTAAAAAATATAGATATACTTGTAATTGCGTAACAAAAATTTCTTTTTTATCTAAAACACTTTCATTAGTAAGCACTAAACACTTTTCTTTTTCCCAATGAGACTCTTTTTAGTACATTTTCGCTTGTAGAAAGCATCTGAAAGGTCTCTCTGAAGCGTCCAACAGTAGTCTGCCATCATTGAGACGTTCCATCTTCCCTGTTATCTTTTTTCCATCTCTTTAATATCTTGGTGAAATCGTTCACCTTGCTCTTCACTCACATCTCCTAAATTTTCTGAAAAGTAGTCGAGGTGGGAATGAAGAAAATGTACTTTTAGACTCATTAGGCAACCTTAAGCTTGAAATGCTTTTAACATTTCTTTGACGATTTTATTGTAGTTAGGGTTTTTGTTATTGCCTAAAAATTTCTCTATGACCTCTTTAAAGGCAATCCACCCTTCTCTTTGAGGATCCGTCATGATTGTGATGAACTGTGGATCAGCCTTCAACTTTGCCTCTGAGAGACCTGGAAACTTTGATATTAAGTATTTGAAGCAATTTCCATCTCTTGGAAGTGACTTTATAAATTGCTTCATCAGTCCCAGCTTTATGTGAAGCGGTGGTAGAAGAACTTTATGAGGAGGCACCAAAGTTTCATGCAGGACGTTCTTTTCGCCCACTTTAAGCTCCCTTGGAGGCCAATACTTTTTGGTCCAGTGATTTACTCGGTCTCTGCTATCCCACAGACACAAAAAGCAAGGGAATTTGGTAAACCCAGATTGTTGCCCGAGCAACATGCCCAATATTTTCAAATCACCGCGCACTTGCCAACCGTGGTCTTTATATTTTAATTTGCAAAGAACCAATTCCAAGTTCTTGTAGGTTTCCTTGAGATGTACGGAATGGCCGACAGGAATGGAAGTATAGAAACCACCATTGTGAAGAAAAACTGCTTTAAGGCTTTTTTTGAAGAATCTATGAAGAATATAACAATGACGAGTTAACACGTAATTGTACCGCGCCGCTTTGAACACTATCAAAGCGCACACGTTCAGGCTACAACATGTTTATGTTTGTTAATTTAGCTCACACAGGACGTTCTTTATTTAGAATGTAATGATAGTTATGGCATGTATCACAGAACATAGGCATGTATACATTTAAAAATAGTAATCATAATAAATTTGTACATATTTATTTATGACTTTAAGTTAGCCCAAAAAAACCCTTTTTCAGTAATAAAATTTTTCGTTTTGCTAAATAACCTGACGTTCTCGAATTTTTTTGAGTATTTTTTTTTATTTTTAGAACACTTAAATACATATAAATCAGTTGAAAACATCCAGACAGCTTTTTTGTTGCAGACCTGTGTAATTCTTGTAGACACAAGTAGAATGGAAATTCATCCCACAAAGGAATAGATTTGACGAAGAACGAAGAGTGAACGATTTCGGAGAAATGAGATGGGCAGAGTAGACGATTAGAGGAGGAACAAAGAGTTTTGGTGTGAAAGGTACATAAGTACAGTTAAGATAAGAAAGAGTGTTTGGAGATTTCAGCAGAGAGGATAACGTAGTTAAAGCACGCATACTTCTTCGCTTCCGGATGGACGTCCATTTTGAATTTTAACGATATAGGGACACATGATCAAATTTTCTAAGAATAAAAACGGTTAGAATCTTCGGTCTCTAGAATCCAGTTAAGCCAGTGAAAAACTGACCATCCTCATACATTGCCCAAAATCTTTATATCTACCAGAAAATGAGATAG